CGGGGGGGAACCGGCCCGGTCGACCGGCCGGTAGGACCGGTCCGGTTCCGGTTGGGGGAGGACCCCCCGGTCCTACCGGGTTTTTAGCACTGGTTAAAAATCCAGCAAATGAGTTATAAATAATCAATGTGATTGCATCACCGCAGACTATTTTTCTTTGCCTCTTTCTTGGTAACAGGTTTTGCTGACTTTGGAACGTCTTCCTGGCAATCAGAGGATTCATTGGAGTTTTAAGAGCTCTATACCGGCAAGAAGGTGAAGAGAAGTTGAAGATTGAACCCCATTTAATGATTGAAGGACCTGAGGAGGGGGGCAGGGGAGGAGTCGAGGATTGGCCCCTAGCTATTTAAGTAGCTAGGGAATGGGGCAGGAGAGACGGAAGGACGAGGAAGTGATGATAAGATGTGCTGAGGAATTCCAGGTAAGTTGGGGTCTTATGTCATGGAAAGAAAGGACAACTTGAAGTAAATTAAATAATTAATCAAGAATTTTGTAATGGATGAGTCATGCTGTCCTTCGGGACATCTGTTAAAATTGGAACGATACAGCGAAGATTAGCATGGCCCCTGCGCAAGGATGACAAGCATAACTCGAGAAATGGTCAAAAAAAAAAAAAAAAAAAAGTAATTGATGAGTCATGGTGACCTGTTTCTTTTTTGTTTTTTTTTTCAAGATCATTTTTCCAAAGGTGATTTGAACCTCCATTACGGCGGAACCTGTCTTCTCAAACCTGATTTAATGCAGACCCTGGCCTTCCCAGCCTGAATGGACGGTCGAACAGTGATCACAACGAAGAGGGGCGTTATATGCTTTTCGTTTTGACCACCGAAACATTTTGCCAGCAGTTTGTTTTGCTTTTCATTCTTGATGCAGTGCAGCCTACCCTACATCGCTGATATTGTTTTTGGGAATATTTCCTGAGTGAGGATGCCGCCTGGCCGGGCCTGCCCTGCCGGGCTGGGCCTGTCTCTTATACACATCTAGATGTGTATAAGAGACAGGTCCTGTCCAGTCGGTGGAATTGCTGATCTTTCTAATAGAGCTGTGGAGCTCAGTTGGTTTGGAATGGGTCAATCAGGTCAGATTGGGTGAGACTTTGTCGTAATAGGTCAGATTATGTCAAATTGGGTTAGTTGGGACGGATTTTGTTCGGTGTCATATCGAGTCATAGAGCGCCGACGATTGGGTTAGCTTAGACTGTATTGGATTAGGATCACGTTAGGCGTAGCATTGAGCTGTGTCTATTTTTGTGCTCCCCCCTCTCTCTCTCTCTCTCCGCCTCCCTCNGAGAGAGAGAGAGAGAGAGAGAGAGAGAGAGAGAGAGAGAGAGAGAGAGAGAGAGAGAGAGAGAGAGGTCACTTTAAGTTCACGACAGGATGTCAACATAGGAAGCCAGTGGCTTGACGTTGAGTAGCCTGTGAGGATGGGGATGAGAATTTCAGGAAGGGAAACGTCAAAGAGCAGACACTTGGAGGAAACCAACCGGAAGAGGAGAGCAAGGTTATCGATGACCAGCCAGAGCAGGAGATGGATGTTACAATGGCTATGATCCTGGTTTTGAGGAAGTGGACGAGGACCAGCGTTTACTTATTTGTGTATTAGCTTTCGATGCCTTTCTTCACTCGTTCTGGCAATGTGCTTACTGCAAATTATCTTCATCGTCCGTGCGGTTCTCTCTATGTATAAATTTGTGTTTATCCCTTTGCACAGGCCTAGGTGTGTGTGTGTGTGTGTGTGTGTGTGTGTGTGTGTGTGTGTGCACATGCTGGATCAGATATGCATGAATCAGCTGTATGCCAGGAAGCAACCCCAACCTCTTTGTCATAGGTGTGGCTGCTCTCTGCATCTTCAGATCGCATACTGTGACTGTGTGCATCCGTTTGGATGTGGACCAGATGCATATGAACGAAGACGGCATAGTTAAATGTACGACACTTAGTGCCTTTGGCCTATGGAAGGTTGTGCGATAAAGTCGTCTAACTTGAAGAGGTTTTTGGTTATTATTATATTACATATAAAAAGGCTGATCATTGATCATACTCTAAGAAGGTTGGTTTTCTTACTTGTCTGTTCCATTATGAGTTTTCATCGAGTGGATGTGTGATCTATATTGCAAGCAGTAGAGCACTGCATGGAGTAATGTGACCTGGAGCTTGATGTGCCCCTGGTGGCAAATTCTGAATACATGCGTGTGACAGTGTGTGACAGTGTGTGACATTGTGTGACATTGTGTACTGTATGGCTGCACTGAAAGTTAAATGTGCAGGGACACCTGTCTTGTCATGTGTGATGAAATAACGGAGAAAGGTGAGAACTTGGGGGAGAGAAAAATCCAGCAAACGAGTTAAAAACATGGCTGTGCCGGCAACCGGCCGGTTGGACCGGCCTGGATCCAACCGGGCCGGTTGGAACCCCGGTGGTCCAACCGGAATTCCGGTTGGGTCCAAAAGTGGGTCAAAATTTTTTATTTTTTGAAAACATGGTTGGACTGCGCTCACCGAGATCTCCCCAAATCCGCAAAGAAAACTTTGAACAGAGAAGTTTCGGTTGGGGGGTTGGGGGGTTGGG